GGACGGCGAGAGTAGACACGGAGAGGTAAAGTAGATGGTAACATAGTGGGCAGCGGAATATCTGAAGATAAGGAAAGAGATGGTGATACAGGAGAGGATCCAAATTCCAAATTCAGAGGCTGAGAAGGTGCTGGAAAGTATGGAACAAATTCTTCAAATGTGACATCCGCACTAGTAAAGTATCGGTGCAGAGAAAGACTGTAGCAACGATACCCCTTCTGCGTGCGGGAGTAACCAACAAATACACATTTCGTAGCTCGAGGGTTAAGTTTGTCAAATTCAGGACTCAAATTGTGAACATAACAGACACAATCAAAAACCTTAGGAGTTAGAGAAAATAAGAGTTTACCAGGAAAAAGAACAGAATAAGAACTTTGCCTATTTAACACAGAGGAGGGCATATGATTAATAAGATGACAAGCAGTAAGAACAGCATCATTCCAATAATATCTGTGAATATTCATTTGGAATAACAGGGTACGAATGACTTCCAACAAATGGCGGTTCTTGCATTCAGCAACACCATTTTGTGGAGAGATATAAGTACAAGAAGTTTGATGAATAATGTCAGTTTTATTAGGATAAGCTGAAAAAGGATCAGATTCATATTCCTGAGCATTATTGGAACGTAAAGTACATATACGACAACCAAACTGAGTTTTTATTTCCTTACGAAAAGTCTCAAATATAGAGAATAATTCAGACTGAGCTTTCATAAAAAATAACCAAGTCACACGAGAATAGTCATCCACGAATTTCACAAAATAAAGATATTTATTAGATGAAATATTCTTTATTGGACCCCATACATCAGAATGGACTAGACACACGATTATTGACTTTAGACTGAAATGACACACGGTGATGCATACTAAGTTGACAAGCTTCACAAGACAAAGATGACACATAACTAAGACTAGGAACTTGGCGCTTCAAATTCTGGAGAGAGGGATGTCCAAGACGACAATGCCATTGAAAAGGAGACAACGAGGTCTGTAGAGTTCGGATAGGTGAATCAAAGTCAAGGTAATATAGGCCACCAGCTTCATGTCCCGTACCAATCTTCCTCTTTGTCTTGAGATCCTGAAAGACATAATAAGAAGGGTAAAAGGTTATAGAATAATTGAGAGAACGAGTAATCTTGCTAATGGAAAGTAAACTAAAATGGAACTGAGGAACAAATAACATGGAAGATAGGGACATATCAGGACTCAAGTGAGTAGTTCCCAGACCTGAAACTCTAGAACAAGTACTATTAGCAAGATAACACTACGTGTGGAAGTAGCAGACTGATAAGTAGAGAAAACGTCAGACGCACCAGTCATGTGGTCAAAGACGCCAGAGTCGATGATCCAAGGACTGCGAGTAGAGGATAATAAACAGGTGGAAACAGTACCTGACTGGGCAAAAGTAGCAGTGGAGGGAGATGGAACAGCCTGTTGCTGGGACAGAAACTGAGCATACTTCTCTCGACCCAGTGTAATAGTAACCGACCCAGTATCTGGTGGAGCTAATCGAGGTATGGAAACAACAACAGAAGTATCATCCTGAGAAGAAGCCTGATTAGCAGTACCAGAAGGTTTTCCATGTAAATCCCAACAGAAGTCAACAGTGTGTCCTCCACGGCCACAGTGAGTACAAGAACGGGATCCACTACGACCCCCACGACCACCTGTATGACCTCCCGTACGACCTCCACGACCACCACGTCCACCTCGATGACTATCACTATGACTATTAGGAACCACAAGAGCTGAGCGATCAGTGGAGACACCATGATCAATGACTAAAGGAGTAGACAACGTAGCATGCTGTAAACGAGAAAAAACCTCCAACAGTGATGGAAGACTATCAGGTCCTCATGTTACTTTTGCCAAATTGCTGCATCAGTAGTAAATGGATGATAAGTCTTCATCTCCTCACAGACTCCTCGAACATGAGAGTAATAATCCGCAAGACTCAGAGTACCCTGCTCTAACTGGAAGTACTCCTTACACACCTCATATGCACGAGTAAAATTACCTGTACCAGGATATATCGTGGCCAAGTGATCCCATATCTCTTTGGTAGTATTAAGATAGAGCAGAGAAGAGCTAATACTGGGCTTTATGCTATTTAACAATAAAGAAATAATCTGAGCATCCTCTTGTTCCCACTGATCATACCTAGGAGTGTCTTCCTTGGGTTTAGAACCCACCAGATATTTCTTAAATCCTTTGTCTCGAAGAAAAACTTGAACAGATTGGGACCACAAAGTGTAATTAGTCCCATTAAGTTTGATAGAGGTCATAGGACCATTAATAAGAGTTGGAGAAGACAAAGATGGAGTAAGGGATTTGGTATCTTGCTTGGGTTCCATAATAATGCAGTAAATAATAAACAAGAAGAGTTACAATGTTGAAGTAGAGAAAAAGAAACTGATAGAAGACTGAATCGGGCTAGAAAAGATAGTTGGACCACTGAACCGGGCTGGAAAAGGTTGTTGGAACACTGAACCGGGCCGGTTTGGCTTGCTGGAGCACTGAACCGTGCCTGTTTAGCCCTTTGGACCAATGAATCGGGCCGGTTTGGCTTGCTGGAGCACTGAATCGGCCCGGTTTAACTTGATGGAGCACTAAACCGGGCTGGGATTAGTCTGAACCGATGGGTTGGGTCAGATTTGGGTTGACCCGAAATGAATTCGGGTCAGGCTGTTTCTTCTTCGCCGGTTAGGGTTTTAGAAAATCCACTTGCGCCTCACCACTGTGCACGACCACCGTGCCTTACCACTGCACCTCACCACCGACACAAATCACTATAACCACGAACCGACCACAACGGCCACCATAGATCACGTCGACGATGAACCACCACAGGCCACCACAGACCACTCGAACCACAAACCGATCGCAGCAACCACCACAACAGCGATCACAACAACCACCACAGACCACGCCTCACCACCAACGATGGACCACCACAACAGCCACCACAAACCACAGCCACACCACCACGACCACAGCCACCGAACAACATCAAACAACACAGTACCACCACCACCGCGATGGTTTCGACAAACAGACAACAGTACTGTGCGTGCACAATCATGCACAATATAAACACGAGAACAGATCTCTTCCGTGGTGAACACGAGTCCGTCAATCGAGTGGTTAATCTTATTACTTGGAACAGGTTGTGAGGGCCGAAAGTGGCCTACGAAGTGGTGACGAATTGTTGTTAGGGGTCGCCTGAATAATACTGGGAGGCTAAGGGAAGTTCCTAGAACAAGGAAAAACAAGTTAGAAGAGCGCCGGAGTGTTTTTCGGCGTATCTCCTCCGACGATCAAGTTAGTTCTTTGAGGGAGGAGAAGAAGAAAACACTATATGATGCTTGAGAAAGGGTTTTTTACGTACCTCTTTTATGTGTTTGTGAGGACTATTTATACCTTAAAAATTCATCATTGTTGACAGCGTAGCTAGTAGGTAATCATTGGAGGTGGGCAGTGCGCATACTAATTTCTATGAGTAATATTCTCATTCTTTACTGCTAGGGACCCCGAGCAACTAAAGTTTTCTCCTCGGTCTGCCGAACGTTTAATGACCTTCTCTCGGCGGGGATGTATTAAATGCCCAGACATTGAAACATTTAATACCTTTCACTTCCAGCCTCTCAGGCATTAAATGCTGTCTCATCAAGGGAAGGGTGCATTAAATACTTGCTTTCCCAAGTCATGTGTCAGCAAGGGCATTCTGGTCTTTTTGTCTCAGATCTGACACAAAACGCCACGTGCCCATTCCCTTTTGGTTGAGCCTTTTGCTTTCTTGTGCATCCTGACACTATTTGAGTAAGACGAGGTCATGATGGCTAGTCTAGGCTAGTGATTTGTCCATCAATAGCCTCTGCAGGAGCAGAAACGCCCACGCGGATAGATACACCTCGGTGCCAAGGGACTAGCATGATTAGGACCGATATACCCAAACTGTCGAGGAATACGTGTCGGTCCATGGTGGGTTGGGGATCCTTGATCCCTGTGAATAGCATCCTCGGGGCATAGGGTTGAAAACCGACGAAGACGTGTCGGGATCACAGCGGAGAGTCTCCATTGACGCTGAGTACACGTGTCGTCATCTGGGAGTGTCTGGAAATGTCCCATCAACCGTTATTTTTGTAAGGGGTAGAAATCGCTACGGGATTTCAGCCCTCCACTCGAAGGATTCCGCCTGACCTGGCGGCATCGAACCCCAGTAGCATTTATCTCTCTTCGGCCCGCAAGAGCTTGTCTCACATCGGAAGAGAGTCGTCTGCTCCCCTCGCATATAAGCCCTTGCACTCAAAGGAGGAGGTACCCACTAGCCACTTGATCAAGTACTAGTGGGTACCTCCTCCTTTGAGTGCAAGGGCTTATATGCGAGGGGGAAAGACGACTCTCTTCTGATGTGGGACAAGCTCCTGCAGGCCGAAGAGAGGTAAAGGCTACTGGGGCTCGGTGCCGCCAGGTCAGCCGGAATCCTTCGAGTGGAGGGCTGAAATCCCGTAGCGATTTCTACCCCTTACAAGTACCACCACGACGAACAAAATTAATTTAGTCAGAATATATATTTATGATCGTACTTGCTCTGATACCATATTAATTGTGGAAGATTAACACAATATTAGAGAGAAACAGAGAGATGTTTAAAACTTAACCTATCTCTCATACATCACTTGTATTTATAGTTAACCTACAGTAATACGAATTACACATACACCCTCTTACTATTAACAATTTACACATACTACCCTATTATTCTTAACAACACTTAAATATTAAAACAACACAAGCATGTTTGTTGGTCTAATTTTCTTGCCAATTGTGGTTCCGTAGAAGGGAGTTTCTCCAATTTGAATATTCATGAAGATTCATTTTATCTTTGTTTTCACATATAGCATCATAAATATCCACATAAGATAGCTATATGTTTGTTTTCCTCCACAGCATTTGTTCCGGCAGTGTTGCTGGGAGAAATGGAGTCTAAGACGAATGAGCAATCTCCTAAGACACATGAACACCGGCTGTAAGTGATTAATGTCCAGATGTCTCTATTTTATGGCCTCTAATTCTCCTTAGCTAGCTTTGAAATTTGAGGAACTTGCCTTTTATCATTTGTTAAATAAAAATATCAAAAAGATGTGAATGTTTTGGTAATTTTATGTTCTAGGACCCTTTTGTACAAATATGATTACTAATTTACTTTTTATTGCTTGTGATTTATTTATTACTGCCGGATACTTCTTGGATGACAAGTTGTGTTCCTCTCCTCCTTTCCCAGTCCTTAAAAAAAACGAAAAAAAAAATCCAGGGCAATCCACTGAATGGAAAAAATGATGAGTATTGCTTTTATTTTTCCTTGGGTAGCTTCTGATTTGGTCCATACATTTGAAGGAACCTTTTAAGCTTGCCTATCTTACCCTGTGTGATTCTATATTTCAGCTTATACTTTCCTATCCTTTGGTGGTCGTACTCTTACCTTTTCCTTTTCTGGCCCGAGCCAAGGGGACATTCAGTTATTCTGAATCAGAAGCTATTTATTAGTGCATTCATGTACTGAATTTTCTCTCTGATTTTGTGTTAGCTCCTCCAACTGCCTTCCTNCTGATACCATATTAATTGTGGAAGATTAACACAATATTAGAGAGAAACAGAGAGATGTTTAAAACTTAACCTATCTCTCATACATCACTTGTATTTATAGTTAACCTACAGTAATACGAATTACACATACACCCTCTTACTATTAACAATTTACACATACTACCCTATTATTCTTAACAACACTTAAATATTAAAACAACACAAGCATGTTTGTTGGTCTAATTTTCTTGCCAATTGTGGTTCCGTAGAAGGGAGTTTCTCCAATTTGAATATTCATGAAGATTCATTTTATCTTTGTTTTCACATATAGCATCATAAATATCCACATAAGATAGCTATATGTTTGTTTTCCTCCACAGCATTTGTTCCGGCAGTGTTGCTGGGAGAAATGGAGTCTAAGACGAATGAGCAATCTCCTAAGACACATGAACACCGGCTGTAAGTGATTAATGTCCAGATGTCTCTATTTTATGGCCTCTAATTCTCCTTAGCTAGCTTTGAAATTTGAGGAACTTGCCTTTTATCATTTGTTAAATAAAAATATCAAAAAGATGTGAATGTTTTGGTAATTTTATGTTCTAGGACCCTTTTGTACAAATATGATTACTAATTTACTTTTTATTGCTTGTGATTTATTTATTACTGCCGGATACTTCTTGGATGACAAGTTGTGTTCCTCTCCTCCTTTCCCAGTCCTTAAAAAAAACGAAAAAAAAAATCCAGGGCAATCCACTGAATGGAAAAAATGATGAGTATTGCTTTTATTTTTCCTTGGGTAGCTTCTGATTTGGTCCATACATTTGAAGGAACCTTTTAAGCTTGCCTATCTTACCCTGTGTGATTCTATATTTCAGCTTATACTTTCCTATCCTTTGGTGGTCGTACTCTTACCTTTTCCTTTTCTGGCCCGAGCCAAGGGGACATTCAGTTATTCTGAATCAGAAGCTATTTATTAGTGCATTCATGTACTGAATTTTCTCTCTGATTTTGTGTTAGCTCCTCCAACTGCCTTCCTGGTTGGTTGCAGACTATTGTATTTGTAATCACTGAAATACCCAAAAAAAAAAAAACTACAAAAATTTTGTTGAACTATTGAACGGTCAGTGTGATTGATCAGACTAGTACCAAGGTCTTGTATTCACCCCCTCAAACTTCCATGTTTACTTTCCAAGTTGATACTTCTAGACCCCTCCCACAACCCAACATAAAAGATGAAAGAAACACACACAAATTTAGTCATAACAAAATTAATGGATTATTTCATTGCTGATTGGATTTTTGGATAAGCGAGGAGTCAACAAAGTGTGTTGATAAACAGCTTACTGCCCCGCCCACTCAATCTCTTATTTGTGTGATTTAAATTAAGGATCAAAATTTTGTTTCAGTATATTATTTCGGCCACTCAGGAAACAAAAACGTTTCAGAAACACAATGAAAACGGATAAAAAAATTTAGAATTTATTTTCAAAACATTTTGAAACATTGGGCGAGATATGCTAAAATATCTTGAAACACCTTGAAACATGCCAAAACATCTCAAAGCATTGGAATTTCAATTTAGTCACTGATTCGTTTCTGTCTCATTGGAAAAGAAAACGTTTTAGTCGTTTCGTCTGTTCGAAACGAAATTTTGAACCTTGATTCCAATTTTTTGTGTCATTGTATGTTTTAGAAAGCATAGTTAGTAAAATCTCTACGTGGTGGTACCAAAGACCAGGGATTGAATCCTGTCGTCAACTCTGTTATGGGATTGTGAGTGGTGGAGGGCCATCCGTACTTTGTAGTTTGGCTGTTGGACCAAAGAATAAAAACATAAATGAATTCATTAGGAATAAATAACTTAAGGCGTACAACATGTTGTTCTTGTGGTTATCCCTAGTACCTTTTCAAGGCGTGACAGGATTTGGATATGCAATATCCATAATCTGCCTGCTGTTTCTGGCATTCTCTTTTTGCCTGTGAAAGTTCTTTTCGAGAATAACAATGGACTAATAGAAGTTTTACTTTGCATAAACTACATACATCATAGTTCATGCCAGCGTCCATAATCCCAGCTTCAAGAACAGTTTAGCACATGCTATCTTTAGCAAACCTGACGACTATAAATTTGTTCACACGCTCAAACTGTCAAACACTTGAATTTGCTTTGTTCCCAACCCATATAAACTTGCTGAAGATTTCTCATAGTTTACTGTACAAGAAAAGGAGATTGGTAGGTCTGTAGCCAGTGTAAACTGTGTAGTAATCAACATGATCATCATTCTGGTTATGTTAGGGCAATCCTGGGCAATGATGTACATGTTATATTATGCAAGAGGAATTGGATGTCGATGTGCCCATGTATCTTATTTGAGTGGCATATAATGTTGCCAGGCCTAACTGAGAACCTTTTCATCCAGTATTGACAGTGTACATTTCATGTGTCATCACCCATTCTGCATATTCATCAGGGAATAACTTTTCATCCACAGAATATGATTCTCGGGAATTGTTAAATACAAAAAGTTACTCTATTAACGCACTAATGCTAGTGCTAAACCTTCTGTTTCATGTTAGTATTTCGATTTACGTTGATATTTTTATATAAAGGATTTGGCAGATGAATCAGACCAAGGTCAGATGGCTACCCAGGACAAGGCAGAAGTTTCTGCAGATTATGCAGCCGTGCAGGATGGGGAAAATGAGAAAGGAGAGGATAAAGATGAAACGGATAAAGAGAAGACCAAAGATCCAGACAAAGATAAAGGAAAGGTGAAGGATGTGGCAAGAAAAGGAGAAAATGAAAAGGAGAAACTTAAAGGTCTAGAAGGATCCAATTTGGACACTTTTCTGCAGAGGTTTCCGGGTTGTGTGAGCCGGGACCTATTGATCAATTGACTGTAATTTCACCATGCCCTTGCTCCATTTTGATATTTTGTAGCCTATTACATACAATTTTTGGATGAAGAACGTATTATAGTTTAATTTTAATTTGCCAGGGAGAGTTCTGTTATTTAAATTCTAAGTCCAACAGGAAAAAGCTCGTGATTTAACGTCCCTAGGATATCTCTTGAACTGCTGCCTTACTACTCACGCATGGTTGCTACATTGTCAACTTGTATGAAGGATATCTCTTCCATGTTGTTGCAATTGTTGGAGGAGGAGTTCAACTTTCTGATTAATAAGAAGGTTTGTTTAGCAGTTTTACAGACATCGTTTGATAGTGAACCTAGATGCTTATCAATTTTGTTTCGCTGCAGGATCAAATGAATATTGAAACAAAGATAAGGAACATTCGTTTTATTGGAGAACTCTGCAAGTTCAAAGTTTCACCTACTGGTCTTGTGTTTAGCTGTTTAAAGGTACGTAAGGATTGGTTGATTGATAAATGTTTTTCTCGATAGTTGCTTAATATGTTTTTGCTGGTTCTGGAACTTTGGTATGGCCAAAAGTAATCTGATGGTTTGCTATGTGACTAACAACCCCCACCCAACAACTCCCAAAAAGCAAAGAAGTTCTTGGACGACAATGAGATTTAAATTCAGACCTACTCTGCCTTGTCCCATGCTGTAAGATCCTACTAGACAGGCCCCATCTGCCATAATAAATCCTTTTTCTGGGCTCCCAATGCTATTTGTAATTGTATGCTTGTTTCTGGTCTTTGGCCCAGCGGAATGAATTTCTTTCCTATAGGGTAGCAAAGCTGAACACATATTTTGGCTGATGGGAGCAATTTGGGTGATTTTTCTGTGTGCTCTCAACTTTATTGCTTTGATAATCACTATGGATGTATTTTACTTGACCTCATCTTGCTTTAGCTAAAATATGGTTCAAAGGTGCTAATGTAGTTTTTGTTTATTGACATTGGTGAAAGAAGCATGCATATAGGTTAGGACAACTAGTGCAAGTTGTCTTGTCTTCACTGAAAGGAGGGCTACTTTCTTTTTCAGGCTTGTTTAGATGATTTTACTCATCATAACATTGATGTTGTTTGCAATCTTCTTGAGACGTGTGGCCATTTTCTTTACCGGTCTCCTGAAACCACTATGCGCATGGCTAACATGTTGGAGCTATTGATGCGCTTCAAAAATGTAAAAAATCTGGATCCTCATCCCAGTACCCTAGTGGAGAATGCTTATTACCTGTGCAAACCACCAGAGAGATCTGCACGAGTCTCTAAAAATCGTCCTCCTCTGCATCAGGTATCATTGTGTACTGGTTCAATAATTTTCTGTCTTGTATGATGAGTATTGGTGATCAATCTTTTCTATTGTGAATTCTGTAGTATGTCAGAAAACTACTTTTCTCGGATCTTGATAAGTCCTCCATTGAACATGTGCTGAGACAACTTCGTAAACTACCTTGGAGCGAATGCGAGCCATTCCTTTTGAAATGTTTCATGAAGGTTCACAAAGTAAAGTATGGCCAGATTCACTTGATTGCTTCACTTACTTCTTGATCTGAGCCTTTACCATGATGAATTTGCGGTTGCTGTTGTTGATGGAGGTTTGTTCTTCTCACTGGCAGAAGTTTATTGATTTGTGTATTTTACTTTTCATGATAAGTTTGATAACCATGACTTTGAATTTCAAAAAGCAAAAAAGCCTAGTGTCCTTCCTGCAGCTTATGCTAGACGTCTCCTGTTACGTGGGAACACTCAAAGATTTAAGATATTCATCTTGGTTCCATTATCGTGAGAGTTTCATTCTCTGCGAGTTGCATCATAGGAATTTTGTTTCCAGTTATGGAAGTTGAGTGAGGTTAGCTAGTAATATGGATGGCTTGCACAATATAGGAATTTAGCCACATTCCTATTTTGTTTTGGAGGCATCAGAAATTGTCTAGCTAAGTAATGGTTCCAGTGGGGAAACTTCCAGCAAGGCATCAATGGATGTGATCAAGAACTTTTGGTGCAGGGTATAAATGCACCAGATTCCTGAAAATTCTTGTAAAACCTCATATCCTTTACACTTTCTTATGTCAACACAGCTTAAAAACGAGAGTGCTCTCTGATTATGTGGAGGTCGAATATTGACTTTGTAGTGCCTTGATTGTATGATAAATCTTGCTTGGGTTTGCAATATTTTTCCCAATCCTTCCATTTTTGGGATAGCCTTTTATTTATTAGGTTTATTTCCTTCATTATAACAAAATTCCACTTTGAATTTCCCCTCAATTGATCTGTGGAGTGTTTCGTTATTATTTTGCTCATCATGTTATTTTCAAATGTGTTTGATCAATCGACGACACTATTTATTTCTTCGACATTTCATTTTGTTCCAAATCTTGAGAAGTTCTGGGGCAAGAAGTTTGTGCTTTTTGATTTAGATTTGATAGGTTCAACCACAAAATGTGAATTTTAGGATTTGTTTCTTCTTTTCTCTTTGTCCTTTTATCTTGTTCTTTTGCTGTAGTTTAACTTCATATTTTTTCTTTCAAAATTAATGCGAAATGTGGCATGATTTTTGCCCCGCGATCTTGATGATGTCACCTTAGGACAAGTTTTATGGGTGGGAAACTCTATGTACATGCAAGTGTACACTTATCTTTATTTAATTGTGGGTTTTAGTTGAATTATGTCAAGAATACAGGGAGAAATTGTCTTTTTCTCTCAGGTCCTTGAGGAAGTCAGGCTGGGACTAGAGTTGAATGACCATGGGATGCAGCAATGACGCATTGCCCATATGCGGTTCTTGGGAGAGCTATACAATTATGCACTTATAGATTCAACAGTTATTTTTGATACTCTCTATTTAATTGTAGTTTTTGGGCACGGAACAGCAGATGTATGCATGATTTCTAGCTGATCAGGCCTCTCTATGGCATAACCTGGTGATGCCCTGTTTTTCCATTTCTTTAATTAAACATTGAAAGCTATTTATTGATAACTTGATACAAGAAAAAAGACTAGAGTTGCAGAACTTCTTTAGGGGTCCAAATCTTGATTGGGACACCGGTGTTTGATCTTGGGTTGTGTGCAGTTCATATTTATTTATTATATGGTAATAAAAACGTGTGAAAACATGTCAATTATTGAAGTGATGCATCCCACTTACTAAATAACGATGAACTGCTTGTATTTGGTGGGGGAATTATATTTACTTTACTGCATTGGTAATTGAAAGTTTTGGGCCTTGGAGGTCAATTATAAGTGATGGACAGGTTATAAACAATTAGTATAAAAGACTGCCAGGCCTTTTCTAATATTCCAGCGTGGCCCGATGTCATCCCTTAGGCTGTTGAAAAGGGAAATTTAGAAGGGTATTATTACATATCCTTGAATTGTTGGACTGTGATGGAATTTTTGACACTGTTAGTCTACTCATCGACTGCCAAACCTTACTCCAAAATGATTTATATTGTGGGGAGAAATCATCATACCTTCCATTTCTAACTGACCAAAATTTTTATGCTACTCGGAATAGCCCTCATTTCTTGCTGCAATTATGGTCAAAGTGTCCTCTCTTGGTGCAAATCAGAGAGCCCCTCCCCCAACCAATGGAACAACCCTTTCTCCGTCTTCTTTCTATCAATCACAGGCCTCTCTTCCCTCTGACCTGTTTCTCCCCTCCATTCTCCCTGATTGCTGGGGCTATTGAAAGGAGACAACAAAACTCATCTGTGTTATCTATTGTACATCTGAGGTAATTAAGTTAACAAATTTGGTTTTGACAGTCTGAAAATTGGTTTTTATTTGTTGCATGAGCATTTTTCCGGTGATCAATTTGGTTGTATAAAGATGCTTCTTCCAAATTATATAACTTGCAGGTGCGGCGGGGGTCATGCCTTCATTCTTGCTGATTTTATAAATTTGTTTCTTTTAAGAAAAAAAGAATAAAGAAAGAGTACTGATAGTGGTTAATGCTCATTAAAATTACTTTAAGCCACTAAAAAAGTAGCTGTTTTGTTTTTGGCTTTTTGCTCATCAAACAAGTATGGGCGAAGGAAGCGAATCCGAACCAAAAAAACAGAATTATTTATTTTGGGCTTTTCGAAAGAGGATAATTCTTTTCTAACCAAACATTGCTTTTTCTATTTTGCTTAGAAAGTCAGAAAAAGCAAGAATAGACTTGGAAAAATGTTACCTAGAATTCTGCAACTGCTATATTAGGACCATGCAATTCTATTTTGTGCTTCTAAACAATCCAGAAGTAAAGGTTGGAAAAAAAAAACACTAAAACTGCAAAATTTACTCTGTTTATGCATGAGTACTTATACTCTGGAATCATGTTAATTCTGCTCAATATTAAAACTATAGTATGGGTCTAAATTTTAGTTCATTGGGCGCCATTGGATAAATGATCTGTTTATGAATTATTCTGTGCTACACAGAGCATTCAATTGTTTTTAAATTTGTGTCACTTGATGGTTTTCAGTTCACATGATTTTTCTTCAATTGCTGATGTGCATTTTTGGCATTCATGGTTATTAGCAAGATGTGTTGGATCCACCTGAAGATTGTTTTCGCATCAGGATGGTTATTATGCTTCTGGAAACATGCGGGCACTATTTTGATCGAGGTTCATCAAGGAGGAAACTAGATCCATTTTTAATTCATTTTCAGCGGTACATATTGAGCAAAGATGCATTGCCACTGGATATTGAGTTTGACTTGCAGGTCAGGCTTTAACATCTTTTCTTTTTCTTTTTTAAGTTTAAATTGGATGTTGGATGTCGTAATTTAAAGATGATACAAACATGGAATTGTGAAAGACTACTCACCAAGTGGTTATTGATAGCTGAAATTTAAGCATTTTTGCCTGTTGAGAACTGTACTAGAACTACATGGTTAGACAGTGTCAGTCATAAAAGAATAATTATTATGTTTTTCACAAGTAGTTTGTAGTGCCAATAACATGTTCTCATACCTGGATTAAAAGCCAAAACCAAGACATTGATGGATTTTATTTTTCCTGGCCTGGCGCATATTTTCCTAGACAGACTGTCCGTTTTTGACACAGGATATACACCACACAGTAACTCAAAAAAGAAGGCAAAGAACTAAATATCGGATTGGACTGTGCTGCATAAATTTTTGGCAATATTGGAATAAAGATGGCACTAAAAATATTCAACAATCAGCATGAACATGTGTTTTGTGATTGTTTGACTGAATTGATTGCAACCAAGCATTTGGTGACGGGCTTAAAAATTTCTTGCTGTATTCCATAATAGAGTAACTCAAATTTCAGTTTGAGAAATTTTGAGAGATATATGTAGAAGCTGGCTGATTTTTATGTTTTCCTCGGGGAATTTTTTCCTTTTTTTCTCTGAAATTTGTTTGGGGGGTGGGGGCGTTAGGTATGTGTTTTGTGATTATTGTGTCATTTATCTCTAAATACTATGGTGAGCTTACATACTGCAGCATTTGCAGGACTTATTTGCAGATTTACGCCCTAACATGACCCGATATTCATCCATTGAGGAAGTCAATGCAGCTTTAATTGAACTTGAGGAGCATGGGCATAGAGTTTCAAGTGATAAGGGCAATAGTGAGAAGCACTTGGATATGGAAAAACCTCTATGCAAGAGTACTTCTGGCAGCATCTCATTGAATGGGCAAAGTCTCACAAATGGTATTGACGAAAATGGGGAAGTGCATGAAGAGATCCTTGGGGACACTGAAAGTGATTCAGGAAGTGGCACCCTTGACCCAGATTGGCACGATGAGGATGAAGAGTCAGATGAAGAGAATCATGATGATGGATGTGACAGCGAGGATGATTATGATGATGCATTGCATCCCGCTTCAGAGGAGGATGGTGAAGTCCATGTAAGGCAGAAGGTGACACAGGTGGACCCTCAAGAGGAAGCTGAAGTTGACCGAGAATTCAGAGCTCTAATGCAGGCGAGATCTAGGATTCCGCCAACTATACTATCAAATTACAGGGCACACACCAAAGATTTAATTTTATCAAATGACGGAGACACCTATAGAAACTTAGATATTTCTGCAAACCATTCAAAAATGATGGTCGAGACTTGAGATGTATCTAGCTGTAACTTGAAATCATCTCCCGTACTATTACATAATTAGATGCTTAGGAAACTGAAGAAAAAGAGATATCTTATATATATATATATAAAATAATATGTTTATCCTACATAATGGTAATTTTGACATGTTATCTCATTCCTTCAGTATCCTCGGTTTCTTTTGTTCTAGGAGAAGTTTCTTTACAATATGGCCGGTTCATTGGTTGTGGAACTGCAATTGGACTCAGTACTACCCATTGTTGAATGATGCAGGAAAGCTTGGATTCCCGAAAGCTGGAACTGCAGGCCCGGCCAACGTTGAACATGATGATTCAAATGAATGTGTTTGAAGGATCGGCCAAGGATCATCATGGAAGGGGTGTTGAGGGGGAAAGTGGTGATGAGACGTTAGATGAAGAGGCTGGAGGAAGCAAAGAAGTTCGCGTGAAAGTGCTTGTGAAGCATGGAAACAAGCAACAAACAAGGCAGATGTACATTCCCCGGGAATCTTCGCTTGTCCAGAGCACAAAACAGAAGGAAGCTGCTGAGCTCGAAGAGAAACAAGACATCAAGAGGCTGGTCTTGGAGTATAACGATAGTGAAGAGGAAGAGCTTAATGAGTTGGGGACCCAACCATTTAGCTGGACCCAAAGTGGGGGTGGCAGAGTTTCCAACTGGAGCCACACATGGGAAGGACACGGTAGTAGGGCTGTTGGATCACATCACCGGCATCATCATCATTCAGGTGGTGGACTATACAATAGCAGAAGGAAATGACATATTTGAACCTGAACAAGAATTATAGAGACAACATCAGCATTCTCAGCTCTCCTCACTTATCAAATCAGTGCATCATTTTCTGAGACGACTCTGAATATTAGAAGTTCAATTGCAGTTCTACGCGATATTCTGCTCCAGTGATGGAGATCACATACAGCATTTGGACTAACTTGTCTTCTCCTTACATGTACCACCAAAGGTTGGAATCCAAGGTCCATATGTTGCTATAGGAAGGTGGCCAGTTGAAGAGAGATGTAAAGGAGTTGATATATATGAGGGTCTAGTGGTGGTTTTAGATGTGTATAGGGTTCTGCTGAAACTGTTATTTAACACGAGATGTGATTTTAGATGCTACTAACCTGTTCATATTTGTCAATATACATAGAGAATTTGATAACTAATTCTCTGGTCTTGTGGTAAAGATATACCAGAAAAATATAGAGCTTCTGTAATTTCATTCATCTGAAACTGTTTTGGAGATTAGGATCGTCTCTAGTATTTGATTTACTTTGTTTATTATATAATCCCGTGTATGGGTGTGGAGTCCACTCGAATTCATAATAGCTAATGGTGGTAGAATTTATCACTTGCAGAATAGCCCAAGTTATTTGATAGTATGATATATATGGGAAGGGATTCCATTTTGTTTTTCTTCCCCAATCCAAAATAAAAATTTTCCATTTTTGAAGCTTTTAAACATATAAAAGAACATAGAAATGAAGATCAAAGAAGAAAAGGAGGGATTAAGATTCTGGGGAAATTCTACGAAAAAAGAGTAATGTTATGTTGATTAAATTATTTATTAAATTTTGTATCTCAAATCAGTGTGGATGGCTGGGTCGGTGGGGTGTACTAATTTTACTAAACATTCCATGCATAGAATTTTGATACATCATTTGGAATACAATATTTGATAAACAAATTTAGACAGCATAGTTTTAAAAAAATTCGGTACCATACTGCCAGGTATTACTTTTTATGGGTAAAATTATAATTTTGAAGCAAAAGTTACAATTGCTCAAAAGAAGACTATGATCAATTACAGTGATCTATGATCGATCATGAAAATCTCGGTATTGATCTCAACTTTTCATTATCAATCATGCCCTTTAAAATTAAAAATTACACCACAAAAAATTGAAACTTAATATTAAAAAATTATAATTTTCAGTACGATACCGTAGCCTTTCCCCTAAAAATGTGGTAAACTTTAAAAGATTTAAGTTAGATTAAGTAGAGAAGCATGATGACAATTTCTTATTCTTGAGTAATTAATATTGTTGCTACATCAAATTTCAACCATTAAAATTTAATGACTTCAAAGGATCTATATGCCAAAAATAGATGCCAAGATGTCTAATTGATATCCTAAATGGCCCAAAAAAAAAAAAAAAGAAAGAAAAGAACTAAACCTGGTTGATGTGTTTCATTCAAATCAAGCACAAACTTTCTTTTCAAAAGGAAAAAATAAGATAAGAAAAGAAGAAAAGAAAATTTATTTGACTAGGAATTTGGTTCTCCAATGCGTAATGATGAACACAATGAATATGCTGTTGGGAACATATTACAATTGGTTTTACAGCTAAGAATTGTGTGCCCTTTATAGGTACAAGCAGGGCCAGCATTTTCCTTCTATCTTACCACTGGGTATATAGGTGCCACCTGTGGGAGTTATGTCTAAGGAATTAAATTTTATTTCGAAACATCTGAAATATTTTTATTATCATGAAAATTAAAATGAATTATTGATTGATTGAATATCAAAATTTTTATTTGACAAAGTATTTCGGTGTATTTTGAAGTATTTCAATGTGTTTCGACGAATAAAAAAGTACATTCAAGGTCCTTAATAAAGAACTTTTTATTCATGGAAAGACCACGCTCAGGCCGAAGTGAAGTGTTATAGCAGGTGAGCAGCCTGATTTCTTTATCAGCAAAGGACCCTCGTCCAATTTGAGAATGTTTCAGAAGTTTCAATCAATTTTTAATCATTGATCCACTTGCAACCTTCTTCTTATTCTCACTAGATATCACTCTCATATACTTTCCCAACTAATGGGTGAGATTTTAAAATATAATATAAAGTAATAGGTATAGCATAAATAAAATATTTATGCCTTTTTGAGGAGTTATTTGGTATCATCTGAAGTGGGTATGCCTTATACTCTAACTAGGGATATCTTGTACCTATTAGGAATGTATCATTAAGAATTTATTTACATTCAATGTATAGTTTAGGAATATATTTAGTTTCCTTGCTTTGAGTATCTTGACCAATCTCATGGTCATTCACGTGTGCTATTGTCTAAGAATTTTAGCATTGATTTAGAGATTTTGTCTCCTTCTCCATGTATATATATCCGGTTGTATCTTTACAATAAAATACACAAGAGAATTCAAGCCCTCTTCTCTTTCTCTCATAAGTTTAACATGGTATCAGAGCCTTAATTGGTTCCATTGTATTCCACCATGTCTAATCCATCAACCAACTCTCCCTCGGATATATCTTCTTCTGTCAATCCAACATTCTTTTCCGTTACGGATGTCTCCTCTCTATATTTTATCCATTCGGCAGATCGCCCAGGAGCACTTTTAGTCTCAAATCTGCTTAACGGTGACAATTATTCCACTTGGAAGAGGGCCTTGAATGCCAAAAATAAGTTGGGTTTCGTCAACGGTTCCTTAAGCAAACTGACGTCTTCTTTAGCCGAAACTTAGTTGTGGGAGCGTTGCAATGACATGGTTTTATCGTGGATCTTTACCCCATTGATAAAACTATTGTTAATAGTTTGATTTATCATGATAGCCCTCGTGATGTATGGCTCGATCTTGAGTATCGTTTCTTGCAAAGCAATAATCCTCGAATTTTCAAATTAAAACGAGATATTTGTAATCTCACTCAAGACTCCATGTCCATCTCGGCATATTACACCACTCTCAAAATCTATTGGGATGAACTCAGCACTCTGGCCTCTAATCTAAAATGTACTTGTGGTGCACTAGAGGAGTTGACTCTTACGCAAGACATTGAACATGTTTTCCAATTCCTGATGGGATTACATGAATCATATGCTTCGATTCGTAGCCAAATTTTGGTTATGGATCTCTTACATCCTGTTACCAAGGTTTATGCAATCTTGCACCAAGAGGAGAATCAACGTCTCCTTCATCTCTCCAATACTCAACCAGATTCTGCTGCGATATCCACTGAAATTTTTCTAATACCTCTTCTTGTATTCCGGATGGTAAGGGACGTGGACGTGATGGTCATTGGAAGTCTAGTTGTGATAAGTTGCATAGTTATCCTAGCAACAACTCCTAATCTCACGTCCCTCAAGGACTACATGATGGCGATTCCTCCCCGGCTGCAAATAATGTCGTGGGATCTTCCAATTTACCAACTGAGAATGGTATTCCAGGCCTCAAAAGCGAGCAATTTCGCCAACTCTTGGATCTTTTATCGCCCTCGAACTTTGCAAACTTTGTTGGACTTATCAACGAGGAGGCTGATTGGAACGGGTGAAGTACGGGATGGACTTTACTACTTCAAGTCTTTCTCCGCTTCTGCTCTTCACAGCCAACGTACTTCTGATTCTACTCTTTGGCACCAACGCCTTGGTCATCCTTTCTTTCAGTGTGTTCCAAAAAATTTAAATATTTCTAGCTCTCATTTGTCTTGTGATGTCTATGCTCGAGCAAAGCACACTCGTTCACCTTTTTCATTGAATACTAATAAGAGCACATTTTGTTTTAATCGGATTTATTGTGACATATTGGGTGGTTACTTTACACCGTCAACTTCGGGTTCACATTATTTTTTGACCATCGTAGATGACTACTCCCGTGCTACATGGGTCTATCTTATGCGCCTAAAATCTGATACCTTTACATGTCTTAAAAATTGTGTCCTAATTAACAACCAATTCAACTGCATCATTAAGAATATACGAACTGATAATGGCCTGGAATTTCGCTCTGATAAAATTCAGCAATTTTTTAACAACCATGGCATTTTTCATGAGCGAACATGTGTGGACACGCCTCAACAAAATGGTGTTGCTGAGCGCAAGCATCGTCACCTTCTTAATGTGGCTCGGTGTTTGCATTTTCAGGCCAACCTTCCCATCTCCTTTTGGGGTGAATGCATTCTCACTACCACCTATCTCATTAATCGCACACCTTCTAAAAGTCTCAATCACAAGTTACCTTATGAGTTTCTTTTTCAAAAGTCACCGTCATATACACATTTGTGAGTATTTGAATGTTTGTGTTACGCACAAAAAGGCAAACAACATCGCGATAAGTTTTCCCCTCGAGCCCTTAGATGTGTTTTGTTAGGCTACCCTCTCCATCATAAAGCTTATCGTGTATATGTTCTTGAAAATAAAAAACTTATCATTTCACAAGATGTCATCTTTAAAGAGAATGTGTTTCCCTATCACCATTTGTCTCCACCTCCAACATGTTCCACAATCATTCCTCTCCCTATTCCCGAGCCCCCCTCTCCCTCCACTGTTCCTACACAGACAACTACCGCCTCCCCTATTTCCCTCCCACTCATCGACACCAATATCCACACCCCTTCTATAGCCACAGACCCATCTATTCCCTCTCCATCCTCATCTTTTCCCTCGGCACAACCACAACCTAACCCATTGCCACCCTTTAACACTCTCTCATGACCAAAGCGAGTTGTCCAACGACCATCTTACCTCAATGATTACATATGTCCTATGTCCTCCACGGCTTCAACTGCTTCAAGATCCTCCTCTACGGTTCATTGTCTTTCCTCTTTTTTATCTTATCATCGTTTCTCTAATTGTCACTTGGCTTTTCTTTCTACCCTCTCACAACACCCCGAACCTACTTCATATTCTCAAGTTGTATGTTACCCTCATTGGCGTGATGCCATGGCTGCTGAAATTCAAGCCTTGGAAGCTAATCACACTTGGATTCTCCAACCACTTCCACCTAATAAAAAACTATTGGCTGTAAGTGGGTGTTCAAAATGAAACTTCGGGCTGATGGATCCATAGAGCGACACAAAGCTCGCTTGGTGGCCAAAGGATACACTCATGTAGAAGGCCTCGATTACCATGACACTTTTGCTCCTGTTGCTAAACTCGTTACTGTTCGGTGTGTTCTTGCAGTAGCTGTAGCTCAAAATTGGCACCTTCTTCAATTAGATGTCACCAATGCATTCCTTCTTGGTGACCTCGATGAGGAGTTTTACATGACACCACCACCAGGTTATTGCATCCAGGGGGAGACTCGTGTTTGCCGTCTTCAAAAATCACTCTATGGACTCAAGCAGACAGCTCAAAATTGATTCTCCAAATTACTATCTGTGTTACTTATTGTAGGATTCAAATAGTCTCAAGCAGACTACTCACTCTTCATACTTTCTCGGTGTCAATCTTTCACTCTCATCCTTGTTTATGTTAACGACATTCTCATTGCCGACAACGATCTCTCCA